CTTTCTGGATTTAATCAACAAACTTAAATCTATGGTCGATGAATGGAAGCTCCTTCCTCTATCTTTTTCAAAATATACCCATATATCTCACTGCTTCTTTTATAAAGATGATTACATGAAACTTCTTTTTATCCTGGCCAGCAAAAATCCTCGAATTTCAGTCTCACCTACAGAGACCTACTGCTGAGGGTGTTCTAGGCCTTCCTGTTTCTGTCCTAGTAATACCAGAACATGGGTTTTTTGGAGTCATGTGTATCTGAGGGGTGAAGAGGTTGACTCGCTATTGCCCAATTGGCTACTGAATGTAAACCTTGCATCCTTAGCACTTACTACTTCCTCTCTGCTGTACTGTTTTCCAATTTTTATTTCCCTTTTCAATTGCTGAAGGATAATTTTATACTAAAAAAAATTTTCAAGATTCAGATTCTGACAAGATTCAGATAAAGACCGTCCTGAATCTCCCTGGTTTTTCCATATATGCTCCTATTTTTCAGAAATCCACATTAAAGCCAGCCAATATGGATGCAGTTTTTAAGTACTGGTTAAATAAGGGCATTGCTGTTAAGGATTTATACATCAATAACTTTGCTTCCTTTACCAACTCTAATATAAATTTGGTCTTTTGTCAGACATTTCCCTCACTTTGAAACCATATTGGTGCAACATAGTTTCTACAAACTTATAAAAAAATAATAATAAAAAGCCCCCTACCACTAAAAAGCTAATTTCTCAGTTTGTTAATATTTTCAGTTCATCTCCATCTACTAATCATATAAAAGAGGTCTGGGCTTCTGATACACTAGTCAAAGTTTCAGATGAGCTGTCGGATCTGAGTCTGTCAAGAATAAAAACCTGTACCATTAATTCTAGATTGCAACTTATTCAATTCAAGGTTATCCATCGTCTGCACTTTTCTAAAATCAAGCTTAAACTATTTCAGTGTCTCACCAACATGTGGCAAATGTAAATCAGATGATGGGGCTTTGGGTCATCCGTATTGCTCTTGCACCAAGTTTATGGACTTCTAGTGCAGGATATTTAAATTTCATAGTAATGCTTATGGCAAACTTCTTTATCCACATAAACATTTGATAACTTTGGGTTGCTCTAAATTCTCTATTACTCTTCCCATGGCTCTGCAGCAGGCTGTCATGTTTGGGTTGGTGGTTGCAAAACGGGTTGTTCTGCAGGAATGGAAATGCTCTTCCCCTCCTTGCTTTAAGAAATGGCTTAATGCTATGGTGTCTTGTATCTATCTCGAAGAAATTCGACACTCTTTGTCAGACAACCATCATAATTGCCTTTATGTGTTGGGTCCTTTTAATAGATACATACAAAATAATGGGCTAAAATGACTGTCCTACTCATCTGGACCTGTACTTTTCTTTTCCTCTCTTTCTTATTCATTATTGTTATTACTGTCATTATAATTTATTGCTTTCATCTTTTATTGACATCCCATGTTTTATGGTGAACTGCTTGATACAATGTCTCCAGAAAAGTCTGTTGTTCCCTTTGACTCTGTCTTGTCACTAAGCTGACACTGTTTTGTCTTGTTGAATTTTGTTATTGTTGCATTTGTTTATTTTTTGTTGTCTTGTCTGTTTAATTCTGAAAAAGCATAAATAAATGTATAAAAAAAAAAAAAAAAATGGTCATCTGCATAAAGCGAAAAAAACAAAACACCGGAAGCATTTATTTTATCAACAAGGGTTGAGAATAAATTGAATAACTTTCTCTCCAGTGTTTCATGCATAACAGAGAAAAAAAAACCAACATGAAAATGAACAAATAGTGTTGAGCTTTAAAGATTCACAGCTAACTCGTAACTTTGCTCCTTTAAATGAGCAGATTAGAAAAAAGCAAAAACACTGAAGGTGGGATGAGATCTGTAGCTTTCTTTATACATTCTGGGCATCAGCAGTCTCTGAAAAAGAAGAAAAACCGTATATGGACAACAGTGTGGGATTTAAAAGGTTCCTGTTAGGTTTTAGGTTTTTGGCAGCGACACAAACTGCTATCATCTTAAAAAAAAATGTTATCATTCCTACCTGGTTCCTTCAGCTCCTGTGCATTTCCCACCAGCCCAGTTAGCAGTTCAGTGTTGCTGTTCAGGATCTCCACAGAGAGGTTGTTATTGTGCTGCTCCTCTACTATTCTCTTCTGAAGCTCCTCCTGATGTTAGTAAAACAGACAGATAAGAACCAGTTCACTGGGGCATTAAAACCAATCTATATTTTCAGGTCATGAACTGGAAAGTTTCTTCTTCCACACCTCACACATCACTGTGAGCTGCAGAGGTAAGTCATCCACTTTGACAAAGTCCTCTTCATCAGACTTTTGACTTGTGTTTCCGGATCCGATCTCCTGTATCAATAAAAACAGAACGGCATTAATAAAAGGATTGGACATAAATGATCCGTCTCAAACAGACTGAACACAAACTCACATCAACATTAACAAGAACAGGTGAGTCTGTGTTGGGGCTGCTGCTGCTGCTGGGCTCCTTGGGAACGTCTTGAGATATTTCAGAGTTCCCCTCGGCAGCAGAAGCCCCAACTTCCTGCTGCTCCACAAGAGTGTGTTCTCCATCTGAGGGATCCGAGGTCTCAGCTGAATTACTGATCTCTGTAGGACAGGAACATAAAAAAAATATATATAAGAAGGTGCACTGCTTCATATATTTTTTTTAACCTTTCAGACATCATCATTTTAACAGAGGTTATGTTTTAAAACATTGGTTTCATGATTCAATATCATTAAAGTACTCCAAAAACAGCTAAAGCTACATTGAAATTCTGTACAGGCGGGTTATAAAGAAATATAGCTATGTTTACAATTTAGTATAGTAGTCAATAAAATACAACATTCTAGTAAAAGACTAAGGATAATCGCCTAATAAGCAAATAAAGGTGTGTCATACCCAAACAGTTAAAAAAAAAACTCCCTGAATGTATGCCTCTTTATATCTGCATATACTTGTTCTATGCCACATTGTTATCTATATTTATTTTCCTTTTTTTTTCCTTTAGATGGCTTTCTGTAATAATAAACTTTCCTTACTTCTGGGTAGATCTCCCTTAAGTTGGGAGTCCATTAAATAACATTTGGAACAAAAGGACGATTCCACAGTACTTTCTGACAACATAACCAGTAATAATACTTCAAGGTTCTGTAGTGATAGTACATTAATGAGTCTAAAGGGTTTCAAGAGCTATGGTGACGTCGTTTAGCTTTACTAAAAAGTTGTAGGAGCCTAATTTTTAAAGGACTTACAGGGAAACAGACTGATCCAACCAGATACACAGATAAAAAAACATTCTCAACAACAAAGTCAACTTGAGAATTGACTTTAATCTGTGCTTTATTCTCTTTAAATTGAGAATATGTCATCCATTAAAAAAAAAATTCCCTGCAAAAGTTCAGAACCACTGAACTGATGCAGAACTATAAATAAATCTAGATCTTTATTAGACGAGGAAAGTACTATTTGTGTACCCTAAGGCAGGATGTAACAGTTTCTACGGTTAGTTATTTTATTCATTAATCCTTTTCTTTTTTATTGTGTACAATTGATACATTATATAAATGTATATCACAAATATATAAACTTACTTTTAAAACTAACTTATTGCTTATTTCTTGTTGTTGATATTACATTATAGACTCACCATTATTTTCTGAACTGTTCTGTTCAGGATTTGTCTTCTGCGCCTCACAGCTAGTTGTTGCCTGGAACAAAGCACAACAAACAATGTATATCAAAGGGACTATAAAACTTGCTTGGATTACTTAAAATAATTTATTTTGCCTGACCATAGTGCTGATTTCCTGCTCTGCACATCCATTAGCTAAAACCTGCAGAGATGTTTGAACATCTACAGGCCCAGCTTCAAACTCCTCCATTTCCTCCTCGTCGTTTTCATCCTCGCCGCTGCCGTAGTTCGTCAGAGCCTGACTCTCTGCTTTGGAAAGACCTGAAATTAAAGAGTTGATATTACAGGAGGTCTAACTTACCACTCAATAAGTGGGAATAAAGATATAGCAACAATGTAATAGAAGCAAAAATCATAAAAGAAATGTGTGAATTCATGCAGCTTGTAACTTACTGATTGATAGAGGAACCCCTTTTATACATCCTTCATCCTCTTCACCTTCTGAGGTTTCACTGCCTCCGTTGCTCCTCACCTCTCTCTGTAGATACGTCTCCTGGAGGGAAGCAGAGCCTTCTTTTTCTGTTTCATCTTGATCCTGAAAGAAAATGAATATAAACATGTCTGGATGCTCCATCAATAAGCCAGAAATCTGTATTGGGAAAGCTTTTCTTTATTAACCGTAATCAACAATCAACTGCTTGAATAATGAATAGATTTTTCTCCCTTTTAATTAAATGTATCAAAATCAAAAGAACCACCATCTTTTTCAGCCAGTAAAGGCAGACTGCAGACCAACAGTATGTAATGAGAACGCGTTTGCGTTGTTTTTTATTTCATCGGATAAAAAAAAAAAAAATAATATTAAACACAAGTGCCTTGAAGCATAAAGAGAATTAACTTTTAAGTACTTGATTTCTTGATTTAAATTTGCTGGATTAATAACTATGATGGTCAAGAACCAGAATCACACTATTTTCCTTATGCTAACAGCAATAAAAAATAAAATAAAATAAATGTTCCCTTCTCCAAAGAGGATAATCAGTATAAATCTGCAAAAGCTCGATTGGTGCAGCTCTGATACACAACAATCATCCTTAAAGTGCTATGAAAGTTTTTATTTCCTATATTCCAATAACTCACCTTGTCTTCATCAGCAAATGCTGGAGAAACAGATTTAGCAGCACCAGCTTCTGTGTTCTGCTAATAACAACAAAAATAATTAGTCCAGATTAAACATTATAGGGACTTTAACACTGATTAAAAATAAAGATGGTAAATAACCTCTTGGTCTCTTGTTTTACAAATCTGTGAGACTTTTCTCTTATTTTTGTATTTTGCTCCCAGGTTGGTGGTGGAGTTGCTGCTGTCCAAATCCTGCATCAGCTTAAAGAAGGCTAGCTCATTGAAGAGTATCTCTGAAATCTCCACCAACAGGTCCTCCCCGCAGTCCTTTAGAGTACGGCCCACAAACTTACTAAGAGATTCCTGGGAAAAAAAAATCCAAAACATTCCCTTTGAATGACTTTTCTCTAACTTGTTTAGCTGCATTACAGGAGGCTGCCGTTGGTCCTACCTGCAGTATGCCTCCAAGCTGTTTGTGGAAAAAGCGAACAAACTCCTTGCTTTCATCATTTTGCTGAGTGAGCGTCAACACCATACGGCGGACGGATGTCAGCAGCTGATGCGAACACACCTCGTTCATATTTTCCTAACAACATAAAATGTTTGCAGAAATAAATTATAGAGGCAAAGAACGTGTAAAACATGGAGACTTTGCAAAGGCTCAGATGATGCGAAGACAAAAAGCCGTGGAGACCAAACCAAAGTGAAACAATTTTCAAGGGCCTTGCTTTAAACATTATTTTAGTTCCTGCAAATGTTTAAAGAAAATTTGCTTCAGGCAACTAATCAGCAAGCTAACACATAAAAGACCTACTGACTAACTGGTTTGCTGGAGCGCCTCACCTTTGCAGTTGAGCGCATTGTTCCATTATTTAGGTGAACCTGAAC